TGGGTTGTGGCCAGGCCTGCCTTGGAAGGAAGCAGGGAATTGGTTCTGCTGTCCTGCAAACCTACCTTGGCAGAGCAGAGCAGGGAAGGAAAGCAGAGCTGGAGAGTTCAGCTGAGAAGAAATGCAGCTGAATGCTCCACAGAGTCACAGGAGGCTGCAGTGGACATCAGCAAACGAGAGCCACCCCTCACCTCTCTTTAGAGCAGGGCTGGAGGATGAGGAGAGTTTCTGAGAAGTGTTATCTGAATCCTATGGACTGTGACTCATTCCAAAAGGCATGCAATTTCCTGGCCTGGGGAGCTGTAGAAAACAGCCTCACAAACCATTCTCTGTGTTGCAATAAAACACCCACTACTCCCTTCCCGAGTCACTGATTTCCCTTCCAGAGTCCAAGCTGAAACCAGACATCACTGGAGGGATTGACTCACCACTGAGTCAGCAAGGTGCAGGTATCCCTGGCCAGAGAGAGCCCTGAAACCTCTGACAGGCACAGCACGTGCCAGCCAGACCTGCTCAGGGAGCTCAGGCATTCCCCCAGCTCGTGGAGAAGCAGCAGCCTCCTGCCTGGGGAGGTGGGATCAATCCCTGGCTGAACTACAGCTCCCAGTCCTGGAGCAAGCCTCCGTTCTGTGGCCAGGGATGGCCAAGAATAGCTGTGACATCTGCACAAAGTGACACAGGGATTATTGGCTGCACTCTGGCCCCACCTTTTCAGGCAGATCTCATCTGCCCACTGACATTTGGCAGCAGAGCAAGCAGAGAAGTTTTTCTATTGTTTCATGCAGGAGTTCAGCCACCCCTCTCTCGCCTGCTTGCTTCCTTGCAGGCTGTGCTCCAGGTAAAAGCAGCTTCATCCAGCCAGGAAGCAGAGCTGTGTTTGGGAATGCTTCACAGAGGGTTCTGCCCAACATTTTGCTCACTCCTGGGTCTTCTGAGTTCAATCCAGTGAACACTCCAGCCTTCTGTGGATTTGTCCTCACCAATTGGATCTTTGGCTCTGGAGGATTTTCACCTGTTTGTCTGACAGGTGCTGAGCTGACACTTCCAAACCTCTGGCTCCAAGGCTTCTCCCAGCCTACAGAAAGCTCACCACAGCTTCAATCACTGCCTCTCCGTGGTTTTTCTGGAAGGCTTTCCTGCTCTGCCTTCCCTCAGCCAGCATCAAGGCTGTTCTGCAACTTCTGCTCTCACCTGAGATTCTGCTGTTGTGTGAATAATTCTATAGGATCAGCAGAGTCAGCTCGCTGTTCATCTCTTTTTCACATCACCTGAGTCTGCTGAGCCCCACACATCCCTGCAGGCCCTGAGAGAGCTCAGCACTTCCCTCCCTTGACACAAATTCCTGCTTTCCTGCAAGAAAGAGCCTGCCCTTCACAGAGCTGACTTCATGGAAAAGCTGCTTGCAAATTCAAAGGCTTTGCAGAAGTCAGCAACACCCTAAGACCTCAGCTTTGGCCAGCAGATGAGTCTCCCTTACAAAAGCACAACACAAATGTTTTGTTCTGGCTAATGACACGTTATTTGCTAATTTGACTGCTGGTTTCAGCCAGTTTGAGCAGCCCAAAAATCTCATTTACTGGGATTTGTACATTGCTTTTCCCAGGCCCTTCTGAGGCTTGCCGGGACATTAGCCATGCACCACTCAGGTACAAAGGTTTGTTTAAGCAATAAGGCAATTAGCTAATTTCTAAAGCCAGTCAGTCATGAAGTAATGTCCAATGGAGCATAGAAATTTCTCCCCTTTAATTCCTCTTATTGCAAGCACCTCTCACCCCTGGAAAATATATGAGAACATTCCCAATTTTAAGAGCTAAGAGAGTGGCAGGTAATTCACCCAAGGATTTTTACACTCTGGCCATTTCTGTCTGAAATACTCATTTTAGACCCCTACCACCTCTAGCCCTGGAACCATTCTCCCTGGTAGCACACACAGGTTTGCCTTTGAAGTTTTTCTTGAGTTCCTTGCAAGTTCCTTCACCGAGTTATTCCATTCCCATCTTTTTTTAATGCTGCCTCATGTTCTCCTATTTGTGGTTTTATATTTAACATGTCTCTGTTTGTCCTCTGTTTTCTCCTCTCTGACCAAGCATGAACTGCAATTTTGTCCTCACTTCTGATGCCTCTTTTCCTTTCCTGTTTTATTACAGAACTTCCTGAGGGCCTGTGGGTAGGTTGCCTTCCTCTGAGGTTCTGGCATCACAGATCTCCATGTTTTAACCCTTTCAGTAGTGGTGGGACAGCAGTAATATTGCTTTCCTCTTGTATTGATACCTCAGGTTTTTGCTTTTCTATTTTTCACATTCTGTGCTGCTTTAGTGTATGGGTCTGGGCTTCATATTAGGGGATGGTGAGCTCTCTGCACAGAGTAGGGAGACAAAACAATTCCTGCTCTAGCTGGGCACCAAGGACAAATGATCCAAATCTCAGCCCAAGAGCACAAACACCGTGGGCTGAAGAGAGAAAACCTAGAAGGATGGGACTTCATGTGCTAAAGCTGGAATTGGACAATGAACTCCAATATGCAAATGGAGCAAAACTTATAAAAGTGAGAGACCCCCTCCATGACCGTTTGTGCATTTTGTGACCATTTTGGTTCATCTTGGGTGCAGCCCTGGCTGGGCTCTTGTGCTGCCCAAGGTGGATCCATTGAGGCCTCCTAATAAATCCCTGCTTTATTCTTTAACTCTGTCTAGTCTCTGTTCTAGGCCAGCCTTCACAAGGCATCAGCATCAAAGTGCAAAGAGCACCCTGGACTTTGCGGGGTGCTCCACAAAGACGGAGAACACCTTCCCCATTCCTGCTCTTAATTTCAGTGCTGCCACGCTTTGGGATGTGACACCTGTACCTCCAAGCCTGCGTGGGCATCTCCTGCAGCCTTTGGAGTGAGGCAGCAGCACAAGCTGGCCCCGAGGCCTCCCCAGAGCCCGTACCTTGCACCAGGAGAGGTGGTCCTGGACGCTGTCGATGGAGAGCGCGATCATCTTCACGTTGCGCTTGCTGAACTCGGGTGCCAGCTTGGCCGCCCGGCCCAGCTCCGTGGTGCACACGGGCGTGAAGTCCCGCGGGTGGGAGAACAGGATGCCCCACCTGCAACGGGAGGGAAGCAGCTGCTGTGAAGGTCAGGCGTGGTTCTGGTTTGTGCTGCAGACAAAAGCTGTGCAGACTGCATGGTGTGGAGCGCAGGAACAGCTCGTCTCTCTGATAAGGAATTCCTGCCCCGGCAACTCTTCCTTCCCTGGCAACTCTTCCTTCCCTATCACTAGAAACTTCCATGAGATAAGCCCAGCTCTAAGAAACTCCCTGCACCTCACTCCCCGCTCTGCCTCCAGGACCCTGCAGGAGATGCTGGAGTAGCCCCTGGATCTTCACATGGAGGTGGACACCGTGCCATGTGAGGAAGTTTGGGGGAGCCCCGTGTACAGTGCAGCCCAGAGACCCCACGTGTGAGGGGATGCCTGGCCAGCCTGCCAGCCAGGTTACTGCAGACACGGTCACTGATTCACCAGCCTGGCCACTACCCCTGCACCTCACCTCCACGAGGAGACACACACAAATGTGCATCATGCAACTCAAAAGAATGGGACAGGACCAAGCCTTAACCCAGCTGCTGCTGTGAGCTGCACTTCATTAAAAGGTAAGAATTAATCAATAACAGGGGAGGCCAGAAGTTAACAACATCACATTCTGGCTCCTGTTACCATGACACAGCCATCTCGCTGCTGCCCACAGCCTGGCAGCAATGGATTTTGAATCTTTAGAGCAGGCAAACACTAATCCTACACCTCCCAGGTAAGGTAAGCAGCACACAGAGAAAGACAGCAACGCAGCCCAGCAGGATGAGCTGGAGCAAAAAGGCTCTCAGGACTTCCCAGGGGCTAAAGCAAAGCCACCCCCAGCACTTCAAATTCCCTGCCAGAGACTCCTTCCACAATTTCTCAGCTCAAATCACACAGATCTTACTGCACCGATCTTCACCCAGCCCCGGGACCACAGCAGGGGGGGAAAGTCCTGTCTGAGAGACTCGGGAATGCAGCTGGAGGGATCAAGCGAGGGCCCCTGCAGCTCTGCAGAGCCGTGTGACTGCCACGGGTCACCAGGAATTCACGGGGCGGCTACCTGGCCACCGGTGCTACCAGGCTTTTCAGACAATAACTGCGCTCCTTGGGCAAACAGCAGCGAGGAGAAAGGAGAAAGCTGTGTGCCCAGGCCGGAACAGCCAGTTCCAGAAGGGCCGAAGCTCAGAGGGTTCTTTTTTCGCCCTCTGCCCGAGCTCACAATGCCGACAGAAGGGGCGGATTCACGCCTGCCAAGCGCTGCCGGGAGCGAGTCCCGGAGGCGCCGTGCCCGTGCCGGGAATGGAGCAGCCGGCTCTGCGGGAGCGGTGCCGGCAGGACGCGAGCCCTTTGTCACCTCCGCACTCCCGGCCACCGAGCCCCGTGTCACCGCACACCTTCGCACTCCGGCTACGTGACTCCGGGCTGGTCCGCAGCACCGCCCTGGGCTAAGCGCCGCTCTGCCAAGCCGGGCTTTGCCGCGCCGCGGGCGCTGCCTCCGCTCTCCCCGGGAGCTCGGCTCGCCCTCCGGGGCCCATGGGGACGGGCCATTCTGCCCACCGGGAATCCCGCCGTGTCCGGCCCCCCGGCCCCACGAGAAAAACCCACGTTTTGGAGCGAGTCCCCGGAACCGCGTGACACGAGACCCACCGTGCGGAAGGAAGGAACGCGGTGAGCGGTGCCGCTCCTTCCCGGCTCCCCGGGATCCGGCGGCGCGGACATCCCACCCCCTGCCCCCGCTCCCGCCGCATCCCCAAGGACTCACGAGTCTCCCAGGAAGTCGTGGAAGCGGATGCGACCCTGCGTGGTGTCCGCCTCGAAGTTGGGCGCCTCATCCCCCAGCAGCAGCCCCGGCATGACTGCGGTTCCCGGTGCAATTCCCGCTGCTGCTCCCGGAGCCGCCGCCGACCGCCGCCCCCTCTGCGCCTGCGCGCCTCCGCCGCCCCCTGCGCGGGCACGTGAGCGCGGGCACGTGACGGCGCTGAGGCGGCGGCGGCCGTGATGGCGACCTACGTGAGCGAGCTGGAGGCGGCCAAGAAGAGCCTGAGCGAGGCGCTGGGCGAGAACGTGAAGCAGTGAGTGCCCTCGGGGAGCGGGGGGAGCGGGGCCGGGCCTGGGCGCTGCGCTACCCTCGCGGTCCTGCCGTGTCCGTGCAAAGCCTCGGCAATGCTGCTGCGTGTGGGAGCAGCGCCTTTGCTGCGCTGCCTGCGCCTCCCCGGAGGTGCTCGAGGAGAGAGCCAAGGTGTGGTTGACACGGTGGTGCTGAGAGTTGGACTCGATGATCTCGGAGGTCTTTGGCAACCGCATTGATTCTGTGGTTCCCTGCTCTTCCCGAGGTACTGGGCCAACCTGAAGCTCTGGTTCAAGCAGAAGATCAGCAAGGAGGAGTTTGACCTGGAAGCGCGCAGGCTTCTCACGCAAGACAATGGTAAAATAACACCTGGGGTTCGTTTCCCTGCCAGGCCTGGGAAGCTCCGCGGTGCTTCCCGAACCGGGCAAGTGCTTGTGAGGGAAGTAGCGGTGGCCAGGGCTCCGGCAGCAGTGGGGTTAAAATGGTGGGAGGTGCCCTGGCCTGCATGGGGAAGTCCCTGTGTAACCCCGGCACCGACAGACAATTTGGTGTTGTGTAAATGTGATAAAAATGTAAAACGTGTTGTTCGAGCAACGAAAAAGCCATTTTTAATGTCACTGTGGAGATGCAGTCCTTCCTGCACTTTGCCTTTGGCTGTAGCTGGAGCAGGGGAGGGAGCCCTGGAAGGGTGCATTTGCAGCAGGCAGGTCCCTCCTGCCCTCTGGGACTGGCAGGTGGGGTGCTGAAGGGTGAGTGTCCTCGGTCCTTGCTTCTCTGTGTGTCTGCAGACATGGGTGGGCGTTGCTGAGCTCGTTGTGGTTTCCATGTTTGTGATCCCCGTAGGGAAGGGCAGGGAGTTTTTTGGTGCCCAGACTCCAAAGAGGATCCTGGAACCCTCTGAAGTTGTTTTCACTTTCTCTTGTGCACATTTACTCTATGTTCCAGAAAACCTCTGCAGTTAAGTTCTGTTTTGTTAGAACCTATTTGAGTTGACTTCATCTTTGTGGTTCTCATTTTGGTGTATTTTGTAGCAAAACCAAAAGCACTACAGTGGGGTGCCTGCATGGCGAGAGGGGACAGCTGCTCCTCTGACTGGCTGAATACACCAGACTTGTCAAGTAGCTGTAATACACTGTGTGTGTAATACTGAGAAGTGACCTCATTGTTTCTGTGCTGTGTGTAGTATCCTCTGTGTTGTTGTCATAGGAGTAGATTCTCAGTCCAGTAGAAGAAAACTCTCAAAAAAACTTAAATTGAAAATTGACTGAGCAGGTGGGGAGAACACAACGGTGGGAAAGCTTAGGGAGCAGCTTTAGGATGGCTTTGAGGGGGTGCCTCTGGGCACTGATGTGCTGCTAATGAGCTTTCTCTTTCTCTCTGTGAACAGTCCATTCTCATAATGATTTCCTCCTGGCTATTCTCACCCGATGCCAGATCTTGGTTTCTGCCCCAGGTGAGTCCTGAGAAGCCTCATTAAACACTTGGTGTAACACTGTGCCTGCCACTTGTGTGTTTGGGGGGTGTGTGCACAGTACCCCTGTGTCCTCAGCCTTAATATTCATGGGTTTTTTTGCCACACAGGTAAAAATGTAGCAAAATAATGTTTCAGTAGAGATGCTTCTACGACTAAGCTGTGTGTGCTTGGTTAGAGGCTGGTGCTGGACTGCTGCCTGTGATAATCTGGTTTGGTTTCTGGGTTGGTGTCTGCTGTGAGCTGAAGGGTCAAGGCAGATGCAGCCTTCTCTTTGATGTGTTTTGCTTACCTCTTTCCCTCTCCTCTGAACTTTGTTCCTGGTCATTGTGGAGAGCTGACTTTTCCTGACTCACCTTGATTTCAAGTACATATCTGTTAGAAAAGTGCTTACAGGGAGCCTTGGTTGAGCTGTGACCTATTAACCCAGTAATCTGCAGATAGTTAACATGTTAACTTTGTGAGCATCTAGAATTACATTTTACCTTTGTGAGTGTCTAGAATGGCTGTCCTCAGGGTTGCAGGTGTGTTTTGTTTGGTTTCCAAAAGACCTCTCAATCCAGAGATGTGGTAGCAAGGGCAACTGAGCTGCAATTCAAGATGTGGAACTCCTGTGTAGGAAGGGAGAGAAAATGGTTACAGCTCATAGGGGCTGAGACCTGAGAGATGAGTTTTTCAGAGAATACCTGCTACTGAGGCACCTCTAGCTAGAGAAAATAATGCAAAATTCATAGATGCCCACAGGTTTTTGCATTGGAGCTGGCCTTAACTCTACCAGCTGTGCTAATTAAGTGTTAATTGCCCCCACCTCCAAACTTGCTTTGCTTGCTCTTGATTGAACTGCAGAAACACCTTGTATGTCCTAAACTTGTTCCCTTTAGGGAGCTGGACTTGTGTGAATCAGAAGGTTTATGTCTGAACCTGCTGCTCCTTGCTTTTAACTTTGAGTAATTAATTACAGCTGGCTTATAAAAAGAACACGCAGGAACAGTGATTCCCCTGATGATCACCTGGAGCAGCTGAGTCTAAATGAGGAGGGGAGGGAGGCAGTGAGCTGCTGTGAGTGTTGGGGTGCAGCTCACAGCTCAGAGGTCTTGCTTCTGGGAGGCAGTGGTCAGGCTAGAGCCTCTTACCACGTGGCTGAGATTGGGGTTTGTTATTCCTGTGTGCCTGCTCTGGGCTCAGCTGTTCTCATTGTCATTTGTCTCTATTAATTCTCTTTATGCCACTTAGTCATGGTATGCAGCTGTCTGGTCAGGATTCCTGAGCAAACTCTCCCAGGTGTCCCTTTCCAAGGCCGGTTAGGATCGTTTGAAGGTGGGAGCCCCAGCACAGAGCAGGGTGCTGCTCCACAGGTGCTTTCCCTATGCTCCTTATTTCCTGCCTGACCTTTCATTTCTAGTTCCTGGCGGTCGTTTTCTCTTGTCCCATGGCAGCTGCTCTCTTCAGAGCCCTGGAGAAGCCTGGCTGTAGTGGTTCACAGGTCAGTGGCAGCACGCGGTGGTGAGCCAGCTGGCCACCAGTGCTGGTCACCTCCAGGGCTTTCAGGCAAGCTCTGGCTGGCTCTGTGTCCACAGACTGCGTAAGCCAGCTTGAAAAAAGTCAGTTTAATCATGGGTGTGGGGTCTTAAAGATGTGGTTTGGTGCTCTGGAGCTAACAGTGCTTTCTGCTAGTCCCCTCTAGCAGCTCAGCTGTGCTGTGCACAGGTTAGTGCTGTCTCCCAGTGATGTGGGAGCTGATCTGTGCTGAGGTACCTCTTTCTGGGCCACTGACTGGGAGACCTCTTACAGGCAAGATCTCCCTATCAGCTGTGTGTGGTGGAGGGTTGTACATGCAAGCCCAGGAAAATGCAGTATCAGTGGAATACTAGCTTTTGACATCTAGATAGATTTCTTTTTCTTCCCCTAGATGCCAGTCTGACACCTACTAGGTTTTTTTATTGTGGTTTGGTTTTATCTCTCCTTTTTTCCTCTCCATGTAACAATGGAAAGCTAACAGGCTTTTGTCCTAACCGCTGTCTTTTGGGTAGAAGGTGTTTACTTCCTGATTTGTGGAAATAAGTAACTTTAAAGAAGTGTTTATGAGGCACTAGCACACCATCACAAGGGTTACTGATGCACTTTCCATCTTTGTGTGAGAGACAAGCGGTCAGTGATAAAGTTGTACTTGTATTGTGTTGGAATAAGAACCCTTGGGGAAGGTATTTTTCAGGAGTGATTATAGTATGTGTTAACCATGCAAACAAACCCATCTGATCCCAATTTTGCTGCCTGTTGTACTAGTGGTTCCACCTGGCATATAGGGGAGCACTTGGTGAATGTCACCCTTTTTGAGGATGCTTTGCATTTCCCCCTCTTATCTGCTCAGACTGTCGCTCAAACATGCCAAACAACTTGAAATCCCAGTAGCACAGCTTCTCTGGCATGGGGCATTTAGGGCTTGGTGCTGCAGAGGCAGGGAGGTGTGTTGTCTATTCTGATGTGAAGGATGGCCATCCAGCTCTCCTGGCTGTGTCCTCTCCCGGGTCCTTGTGCACTGCCAGGCTCCTAGCTGGTGGGATGGGGTGAGGATCAAAAAATCTCTTGGCTCTGTGCTATGCAGGAGTGAAAACATCCCTGTGTCACCAGCAGTGTTCCTGGCACACATCCAAAATGTAGTCCTGTGCAAGCTACTATGGAAGAAATTAACCCTCTTCCTCCCCAAACCAGCACATGAGGATTTTTTCTTCCCCAAAAAATTCTGTCAAGAAGGACTCTGGTTTAAATCCTTTCTTAACCTTGCATGGAGTTGCTTACTAAGCTGACCTTGTTTGTTGGACAGTTGCAGGCTCTCAGGGTAGCAGGGTTTCTTGAGTTAATATGTATCTTGCTTGAATTGTTACCTCCTTTCTTAGCTAAATGTTAGCAATGAAACTGAGACAATTGCAAACACCCGAGTTACTGATGTAAGGATTTAATTTATTTAATAGTAGTCTGAAGCCAATTAAAATATGGTTCATTGAATTAGAACTCATGTGGAATAACAGGAGCATTTTATTTCATCAGGTTTGTCCACAGGCTTTGCTTAGAGGGCTTTCAGCTGTGAGATTGGCTCGGGTTGTTTGTGTTTGCTTCTCTCCAGAGTACTGAGAAGGGAGGAAAAGTAAGAAAATGGGAGTGTGAGTTTTTGGCAGAGGAGAGTCAGCAGAATATCAACCAAATATCAGCAGAATACCTGACCAAAGCCCTTGTTTCTGCAAGAAGATTAAAACAAACAACCCCCTCCAAACTGAAGATCAAGAAAACAAGCGTGGGAAATGTGTGTTTTCTCTGTCTGCTTCTTTCTGTGGTGACTTTCTCTGTTTCTTTGTCCTTTCCTCATGTAGGCAAACCTGACAGGCTCTATCTGGACTGGCTGGTGCCATTGTGATGGTGCCATGCAGAGATGTGGCAGCTCCTAGAAAAATGTTTTTATCTCTTGCTGATCTTTGAAGGCAGAGCAGCAGCTGTGACTTCTTAGGGTCTGATTTCTTTGCTAGGAAGATTAAATAAACTGCATTCATCTCTGAAGTTTCATGTCTGAGCCAACCCAGCCTTGTCATTTGTGGCCAGGAAGGCAAGTACTGGTTTCTTAGAATGCTAAAGGGAAATTTTGCTTTCTTCATCTCCTGCAAGTTTGGCTTGGTAATATGAAAACCTGGAAAAGGAACCAAAAATTGTGCTATGGGCTCATTATAGTGGGGAATAGGAGATTGTATCTCACCTTTTCCTTGTTTTAAGCTGAGTTTGGCTGATTTCTTGTTAAATGTGCATGTTAAGATTCAATTAAGTTGCATCTTTCAGATCTACTGTCAAAGCCTATAAATTTAGTTGCCATTGAATTTAAAACCTACTGTATTATTTTTCTTAAAAAAGGTATTTTAAAAATTCAGACTTAGCTGTAACCTATTATATCTGTAGAATATTGTCAGAGAAAAGGGTGTTTGCAATTTCCACCTCCTTCCATTGCACTTTCTCTGGTCACAGATGAGGCTGTGAAGGAGCTGTGTGAGACTTGATGTGGTTCTCCACAGTGGTTTCCTATGCTCCATTCTTGGGGCCTCTCCTGTGATGTATTGATGAGCAGTGATACCAGCCTTACAATTTTTGGGGATGTTTTAAATTGACCAGTGGATTTTGATAACAGGGTTTGTAGGCTATGGGTTTCCACCCCTCTAATAGGATGTAACTAAACTTCTTGGTCAACTTTTTTTTAATATAAGGAGAATGTGCCATCTCTGTGTATGTAGGTTGTTTCTAATCCCTTCTTAGCAGCTGACCATTCAAAAACTTCACCTGAATCCTCTAGCTGAGCCTGATCCTGTTAGAAATTATTTTTTTTTCCATAGCAGAGGACACGGTGCTTGTGCTCCAGCTGTGAGTGTGGGAAGCTGCCCATAGCCAAGGACTTCTAGCCAGCCTCATTCCTTACAAACAGGGCTGTGGTATAATTGTGTTTATGAGTTCCTGACTGCAGCAAATTAACCATAGTTAATTCTCCATTACAGCAGATTAAGCATAGTTGGGACAGCCAGAGATAAACCCACAGATTGGTGAGAGCTGTGGGAGCAGGACAGAAGCACAGCTGGGTGTTGGTCAGTGCTCAGTGAGGCTAGCCAGGCTGTGGGTGGTGAGATGTGGAAAGGTTGCTGTCACTTCTTGTCCCTATCTAGAGGAAATGGCAAATTCTGGCTGAGGTGTGGCCAGGGAATGTCCAAGACGTTGCTGTGCTGTCAGAACTGCCTGGCAGCAGAGCTCCAGCCTCTGTTTTGGAAGCAGCTGAGGTGCCCTCAGAGCTGAGCTGTCCAAGCTCCCTGGGCTGGGACATGCTCAGGGCATGCTGTGCTCCAAAGGAAGAGGATGCTCACAGCAGTGAGCTGGGGGAGGAGGGTGCTGGAGGCACACAGCACAGGCTGCTCTGTAGCCACGAGAGGGCTGCTCAGTCTCTGAGTTGCACTTGTTCCCTGCCAGCAAGCACGCACATCCAGTGCAGTGCTGTCCTGAGCCAATGTTCCTGAAGGAATTAATTGCTCACAGATCCTGTAAGCCTGTCAGCAGGAAACTTGCTAGGCTGTCCTTGCCAAGATCTGTGTGATTATCAGGATGTGGTTTGGCCTGCTGTAGGGGTAGCTGTCAGACAGCATTCAGTGGACTTTTGAGCTGATTATATGACCCAATGTATTTATTTATTTATTAGTACTAAACAGGAACCTCTGTTTCAGCTGTTTGCTCACTGGTCACATTAGTGACATCCTGCTCCTGGGCTCGGGGGCCTCTGCAGTTCTTCCCCCCTCTCCTTCTCTTCAGTGTAACAGAACAGTCAGCTTGATGTAGTGATGTTTAATAAGTATCCATGACAAATCTTGCTGAAGCAGAAGGAGAGCTGGGGAGTCAGGCTGCTCAGTTCAGATGGTTTAGCATCTGACCTGATCCAGAAGTGGGTGAGAGGAGAACCCACCTCCAGGCAAGCTCTTACCTTCCTGATGGAACAAACAGCTTGTTCCTTTCTTTTGGATTTTCTTACAGGCTGTGCTTATCTCTCTCCTTCCACTATGGGTTTTGTGTGGCGTGTGGACAGAAATTGCTACATAAGTCGTGGGTGTTGTGAGTGAGTCAAAGTAGCAAGGGGCTGACAGAGGAAGGGAGGGCCTACCAAAGGTGTTCTCCCCTCTTTGCTATGGCTGTTGATTTTGGGTTGAGGCTTAACAGGTGGGCTTAACATTTAACCCTTAAATGTTAAGGGTTTCATCCTGGCCCTAAATCAGCAACACTGAGTGGGTGTTTTGTGGTTTTTGGTTTATATTTTGTTGTTTGTTTGCTGGTTGGTTTGCTTTGGTTTCTTTTTCCTTCCGATTTGTAGAAGGTGCTGGATCTCTGCCATGGCCAGGTGGCTCTGCAACTAAACCTGGAAAACCCAAAGGGAAGAAAAAGATGTCTTCGGTTCGCCAAAAGTTCGATGTAAGTGCCAGATTACATCTGCCAGATTCTTAAAACAAGTGATTTACTGTTTATTCAGGCAGTCAGAATTCTCTGACTAACTCTCCAAGTGTTTGAAGTGAGATCCTGTGTGTAATGTTTTCAGAAGGTCAAATTGTTTCAGAGCTGAGAATGCCTTTTAAAGGTGCTATTTTCTGGTAGGTGGCACAGAAACGTGCAAGATCCGGTTCACTTTGCAGCAGAGGCTCTGTACATCCACCCAGCACTGCCACACCCCTGTTCTGCACTTGTTTCTGTGCTTCCAGACCAGTGTGGAGGGGGCCTGGTGAGACAGAGATTTGGGATCTCTTCCAACAGGCAGGGTTTGATAAGGTGTGTTACCTTGCCTGTCTTAAAACTTCACTGTAACTCTTCAGTTCAGTAGTGAGTAAAGGAGAGTTTGAGAAGCAAGTTGTGATGTAGTGGAAATCTTAGAATTTGATTTACTCACTACCCCTAGGATACACCAGATTTCTAGTGTGTGTTTGTACACATGTTCAGGAATGCTTGGCAGTAAGGGCTGTATGAAGTGCATTCTATAATTAATGGGCTTTTCTGGTACTAGTGGAATTCCTGAGTAGTGTGAACTTGGAAGTGCCTTGGTATTTCATGTTTCCCTCACTGGTCAGAAGAAGAGCTGTGAATGACCATAAGTCCAGTCTATTCCAGCTGGCTTCTGCTCTCCCAAAGCACATTCCTCTTGAGAGTTGCTTACATTTTGAAGGTCTTTTTTTCCAGGCTTGTGACTTTCCTGTAATGAAAGCATAAATCTTTAGAATTATGGGGAGGGAAACCTGCTTTCGCATCACCAGTGGGTGGATTGGTTTTTCACTCTGAGTTAAATGCCACACTGTCCTTTGACTAAAGCAGCCCCCCTTTCTCCCCTGAAACTAAGATGTGAGAAATCCACTTTGCTGCATAGTCATTGTTCATATTTAAAGTGTGTTTGTCCTGGTGCCCCATAAAAGCCTTGCAGCCATTCCACAGCCACTGGAAAGCAGAGGGAGTGTGATGAGTCTGTTTCCTTGTGGGTCAGACCTGGGCCAAGCACGTGGCTGGGCTCAAGGATCAATAATTTCCATTTGCTTTGGTCCCCCCTTTATTTGGGGACTTAGGAGCCATCACAGGCACTCAGAGCTTGAGACACAATGCAGCCAAGGATTTGTGCTGGAATACATATGGGCTGGGAAATGCCACCTTCTAGTATGAATTCCTGTTCTGTGATGAGCATTTTTGCTAAATTACTGAGTCAGTTCTGAAAAATAGTCATAATCCATCTCAGTGGCTGTTCTGTAACAGAGCTCTGCTTAGAGTAGTGAAAGTACACAGGGAGGCTGGAGTATGAAATTAGTGCTGGAATTGGGCTAAGTTAAAGCATTAGAGAAATATAAGAATCAATCACACAAGTTTAAGATCACGGGTTTTAATCTGGAGGGTAGCTGTACAGATAGTAAGTAAAAATACACCCTTCTGTACAAGAAATTACTGAATTGATGAGAACTCTTCAACACAGAAGGTGTCTGAGACATGTGATAGTCCAGTCACTGGCCTGGGTAGTGTGAAAGGAGATAAAAAGAACAGTCACTGACTGCATTTGAGGCTCCCAGGAGAATCAGACAAATCAGACCAGAGCAGGTGAGTCTTCATGTGGTGTGTGAATTTCTGACTGCAGTGTGTTGTGGATACCCAAAGTTCAGGTGGTTTGGGGTGCTACTGGACAAGTCCAGTGAAAGGATACCAACCCTGACTTACCAATTTCTTCAGTCACAAGCCATTGGGGAGGATTTTTTTAGGCTTTTTTATGGGTGCAAGTTTTCTGACTGGAGAAGGGGTGTCCCCTTGATGAACCAAAGGGTCTGAATGAATGTTATCTTATGCTTTAATGTTGTGTTCCTGACAGCACCGGTTCCAGCCTCAGAACCCACTGTCGGGAGCCCAGCAGTTTGTGGCAAAGGATCCTCAGGAGGATGATGATTTGAAGCTGTGCTCTCACACCATGATGCTCCCAACACGTGGCCAGCTGGAAGGAAGGATGATTGTCACTGCCTATGAGCATGGGCTGGACAATGTAACCGAGGAGGCAGTGACAGCTGTTGTTTATGCTGTGGAGGTGAGGCTGGGCTGGGGGCTGCAGTGGTCTCATGACACCAGCAGCAAAAGGCTCTGTCTGCAGTCTGGGGCATTGTCCCCCTGCATGGGGTGGAAACTGCTGGTCTGATTGTTCTCCAATTGCCTTTCTGCCCCCAGAGTAATGTGAGAATGGAGAATCTCATGCCCTACATGTAAAGTCTTGCACTTCTACCTGCAAGCATTAATTTTGATGTACTTGCACAGTACCCCAGGCACGCTGGAGTAGCTGTTGTGAAAAATGCTGTTCCTGACACTTAAAAACAGGGACAGAATGGGAATGTCAGTTTGATCAGCTCTATAAAAAGCAATCTGTTACAGGCACCATGAAGGGACAGGATCAGGTGACACCTGATCCAGGTGGAGTCTTAGTTTGGCTTTGGCCATTGGTGGTGCATCACTGTACACATCCCAGGAGTGACACAGCCACTGCTTGGAGCATTGATGTGTGGATGGTTTTCTGCACTCGGTATGTGAAGGCCAACCTGAGTTCCTCATCTGGAATGAGGCCAAATTAAGAAGTTGTCTGCTTGTTTTTTTCAGGCAGTTTCTTCTCCAGCACTGTTCAGGCAAATGAAAAAGATGAGTGAGGGGCTTTTCACTGTCATTTCAGGGAGTGTATTTCAGTTCAAGTGTAACATCTAGTGTCAGTTATGAAATCTTAACCTTATTCAGAAGGTGGGAATTTCCTAGCACTGAAGACACCCCTTTGACATTTGAAGCAGGACATCACATACTAAAGTATAGTTCACAGGCTGATGCTTACGGTACTCATAAGGTGCCATGTTCTCTGTATCCAAGGATTGGATAGTGAAAACCTCCTGCAGCTTGTCCAGATATTGGTTCCCTTCCATCTTTAGGTCCCTGTGGTCATAGAGCACAGCTTTTGTCTTGCCATTTGTTGAGGCCCTTCTATCCATGAGTGAATGTATCAGCACATGTCACAAGATTGGTTTTCCTTGCAGAACCACCTTAAGGACATTCTGACCTCTGTGATATCCAGGAGGAAAGCCTATCGTCTGAGGGATGGCCATTTCAAGTATGCCTTTGGAAGCAATGTCAACCCTCAGCCATATCTGAAGAACAGTGTTGTTGCTTATAACAACTTAATTGAGTGGTAAGGAGCTGGCAGCATGTACATGGATTTTGCTAGTCTTGGAATTACTCCATGGCTCATTTGCATCTTTTATGAGTGTTGATGGCATCTTGCTTTCACAAACTAGGAAGGTATTGTTATGGAGGATTGTACAGCAAAACAGGGAGTGAGAATATGGGGATTTGCCAGCACTGGACTTTAGGAACAGTGTTACCTCTCTCTCCCTTACCTCTGCTTGTCCAGCAGTTTATTACTGCTTTTTGGAAACATCAGCAACACAGCAATTCTCTGCCTTTGTGGAGGCACGGCTGTTGTGCCATAGGATTAAAATGTCAGTGAGGACCTGCAGGACACTGCTATCCTGTCATTTCCTGCATGCAAATGTGTTTATGGTTCTGTGGCACATCTTTCCAGTTAGCAGGGCTTTGAGGTCCTTTTGTTTGGAGTCTCAGTGTCAAAGAGTTTGTGCAGTGCATCTGGCAGCGTTTGTGTACGAGAAGGCAGTTTTGTTTGTCTGTGGCAGCTTCTAGCAGTTGACAGGAGGTCGTGGGTGTTTGAAGATTTGATTGTAGCACTACAAACAACTGCCTAACGGCCACTGTTGCAGCTTAATGTTGTGTGTGCCTTAATTTTTATGCTGGGTAGAAACTATTGGCTGCAAGTAGCAAAACGTTGCACAACCAAGACCATTTAAGCAGGGCTGGAGCACGCTGAGGGTCAGTCCACACTCCTTGTTAAAATGGAACTTAAAAGAAATTTTCATTAGAGCTGAAATAATTTCACGTACCACATCAGGTGGTGCAGAACAGCAAGGCTCCTGCTGTATGACAGCCACAGCTGGTGCTGGTTTTGTGACTGGGATGTTTTCTGCCTGCTCTGCCCCCAGCCCCCCGAGCAGCGCAACGCCCTCGGCGGGTCAGAGCCTGGCCCCCCCGCCTGCTCCTGATGATGCTGAGCAGCAGGCAGCCCTGCTCCTGGCTTGCTCTGGGGACACCCTGCCTGCATCCCTGCCTCCAGTCAACATGTACGACCTCTTTGAGGCACTGCAGGTAAGCTGGTCGTGTCACACCTTCGTGTCACATGCAGCAATGCCCTGGGCGCCAGCTGCCAGTCTTAGGTGTGGTTTATGTGCATGGACGGGGATGGAAAAGTCTCTTTCCTTCTTTGCCTCTCAGATTCTTTGGCTTTGATTTGTTCCCACTGTTCCCACTGTTAACTCCTGGTTTAATGCCTGTTCTGATCCCCTTGGTCACAGAGCTGATGAGGAAAATCCCTATCTCACAGCTGTGCAAGATGGGTGTGCTCTTCCTCTGCAGCTAGGCTGCAGTGATTATATCAGAACTGAGCTGGACAGATTTTGACAGTGCTGCAGCAAAATACCTGTCATGTCCCTTCTTTCTCCTCATGTTCCACCTGGGTACTTAGAGGAATACTTGGTCCTGGCATGCAGGGCACTGATCACTGTGATCACCCCAGCCCTGGGGAGGCATTTAAGGTCAGCCGGGTGAGTTTTCATTGGCAGCGTATGGCTGTGGTTCCCTCCCTCTCTGGCAGCTGTGGGGGCATTGCCTACTTTGAATGTCCAAAATTAGTTGTTAGAAATTCCCCCTTGATGATCTGTGCTGTTGTGAACAGGCCTTGGGATTTTGTCTGACAGCTGTGGATACAGACCACAGAGCTGTAATCAAGCGTTCATCTCCTGTTTAGTCAGAATTGTTATTTCTATGGTTTTGATGATCAATTATTGATTGCCACCCCAAGAGCAAAATTACTATTTCCTTACCATGGCATTCCCTTAGCAAGTGGTGTAAGGGGTGGTTGTGCTGTGCTGGCTGCTGTGGCAGTGCTGGCAGGGAGCAGCTCTCCCTGTGAGACTCCCTTTGTTCCCACTCTGCAGAGCTGGCCCCTGTGGTAGAGGGAGGTTATTCCCTGGTAACATGGGCAGATGTGTATGGAAGTGTGCAGCTTGTTTCCCACCGTGCCTTTGCAGGTGCACAAAGAAGTGATCCCTGCACACACAGTCTATGCTCTAAACATTGAGAGGATTGTCATGAAACTCTGGCACCCGAACCACGAGGAGCTGCAGCAGGACAAGATCCATCGGCAGCGCCTGGCAATGAAGGAGGGGCTCCTGCTCTGCTAGAGCTGGGCAGCCCTGCCAGCCCTCAGGTGGCTCCAGCCTGCTCCTGGCACTTGTCATTCAGGTGCTCCTTACAAACCTGTGTCAGCATCTCCAGGATGATGTGATTTATGAGAAAGCTTTTCCTATGGAAATGGGACTGAGTTGTGGGACACTTCCTCTGCTTCCCTAGAGTCACATGCTGTGGAGGACTTGCAGCAATGCCACTGAATTGGGAAAGAGAAACAAGACACATTTGCAAGGACCGTTTTTAGGAAAAATAAATGTGAAAGTGGAAAGACTTGGTTTTAAATAAGGTGTGTTTTTGTCTTCTTTTGTGAGTGTGGAGAATCTGTCTCCTTGCACTCACCTCTCAGGTAGTTTCCCTCCTGAGCTCAGACTCCAGAGGCCTTGTCCAACTTCTGTTGCTGTTGGTGGGATCCTTTTCATTAACTGGCTATGGGGTGGGCTCTTGTGAAGATGAGCAATTCTGTAAGCTGATGTTCCTCTTCTACCAGGGAACTTCTGATTAGAAACTGACTAAACAAGGCCAAAAGGGATTGTCTTGGTGTTGAAGACTCCTTGGATTTGCAGCATGAACAAATCTCTCCTGTCACTTCCTTGTAAAAATATGTAGCCTTGTATTACTTCATTTTGAATTTATGCAGCCACACCTCTCCACATGGGAGATGTGCAGATGACTCTGTAAAAGGAGAAATTCCACCTTCTGGATTTCAGGTGCTCTGCTATATTCCTGAGTCAGCTCTGGGAGCTAGCTTATTATAACAAGAGAATTCCATTAAAGTGTCTTAATTACTACATGACCTGGGTTTGACCTCAAACATGAAGGTACCTGCTGAAGTGTGACTCACTTACTGTGCCTCCAGATGAATGGAATTGAAACAGCTTCTTCTGGGGGAATATGAAAGGGGAAGCTCATGGTTCCACATCATTCTGGTTTTCCTATTTGGAAGGTCTTTGGATGGGAGACTTGTCAAATTTCTTGTGAAGTTTTCTCTGCTGTACCCCCAGGCCTGAGGAGGGTGCAGATCCTTGATGTTTCTTTCCAGTTACTGTTTTTATAACTTCCTTTCCTGACCAATGTGACTGTTTGTGTTGCAGCTGTGTTGTAGCAAGGGGCTGTGCAGCTGTCCCTGTGTTCCTGGCTTTCCTGCATCCACTTTGGGATGTGCTGTGGAGCCAGGCATAGCAAGAGGCAGTGTCTGTACAGGTATTGGTGGCTCTCTTCATGAGAAGATAATTTCAGGATTATGAAGAAACTGGGAAAGGCAATGAGACAGAACTGCAGCAGGGCCTGGCAGGATGGGAGCAGTTGTAGGTAGGTCTGGCAGTGTGTGGTTCTGAGGGGAGTGGGGGAGAAAAGATGGACAATTCCTTTTGGTCCATTTCTTTCAGCTGCTTTGTTTTTCTGTATTTAAGCTGGTCAGAGTGAGCCTGAGCTTCAAAGTTCACCTCAGTAGCTTTTACATGAGTGTTCTTAAAAGCAGTGTTTAACCTTAGTAACTGTGTGGTGGTGAGATCATCAAGCCACCCAAAATACAGCCTGTGGGGTGTGGGAGGGAGATTTCCCAGATAGTTGTGATGCTTCTAGTGTAAAATGAAAGCAGTATGTTTGTTTGCTAGAAACTCTGGGGCAGCTCTGAGGATCTCAGATCTGAAGAAGGCACCCAGCCTCTGACAGCATCACAGGCGGGTTCTGAAACAACTTGCTAAGTGTGGCACTAGAATCTCCCTCCTGTTTGCCTGAGCCATGTTCTGAAGAGCCAACTCATCTATTCCACCCTGACAAAGTGGGGTGTTTTGGTACAGCTGCTGCACAGCAAAGGCTCCAACAAGGAGCTCACATCAGCTGCACTGCAGAGATCTGAAAACTAAAAGGCACAAGTTCTCGAAGCACTTTGCCATGAAGTGTGAGGTTTTGTGAGAAACAATGCTTTACAGGCTTCTTGGGTCATGGAGGTGCAAGGAATTACAGAATGTTCTGAGTTGGAAGGGAGCCACAAGGATCAGGAGTCCAACACTTAAGGGAATGGCCCATATGGGGATCAGACCCATTATGAGCACCGTGCTCTAACCAACTGAGCTAATCCCTGTGGCTGGCTGGAGGCTGCTTTTCCACCCCCTGCTGAAAGAGGGGCCAAGCTCAAAATTGGAGCAGGTTGTTTATTTCCAGAGATGAGACCAGAGAAGCAGTGCCATCTCCAGTTCTGGTGTGTGACCATGTGGACAGTGGAGGTTTCCTTGGACCCCTGAGAGCAGGGTGCTGGTACTGACAGGTATCACTGTCAGTTATCACAGGTATCACTGGTTAGGCTGTGACATGACATGTCTGTCTTCACTACAGTAGTCAGCCCTCTAAAATGAATCAATAAATAACACTGCTGAACTTCAAAGCAGCACAGAAAATAGTTTGGCAGGGTCTGGCTTTTGCCCCAAGATCCACCAGAACTTGCCAGCTCTGTGGCAAGCTTGAGCAAAACTGTTCCTGACAGATGCCAGCTCAAAAACCTTCAGTGGAACTTCAAAGTTACCTTGGGCAACCTGGTGTGCTTTTAGTGGCCTTCACCTTTGAAGGCTTTTTCCTCTGACCCCTGCCTCTTGCTGCAGGCCTGGAATTCATGACAGCCATGCCAGAATATGGGAAGATAGAAGGGAAGGGATAAGACATCACCTGCCTGAGAATTGAGTGAGAATTGCATCTTATGCTCTTAACCCCATAGGAGCTATGCAGTGTACTGAAAGTTGCCACTTTTGGAGTTTCTATTGCTTCTGCTTCCCCTTCTAGATCTGTAGTGAAAAACTACTTGCCACCTCCTGAACGGGGGGGAAAATGTGCTCAAGATCTTCACCGGGCCTGCTTCATGGCCTGGGTTGGGGTGAAGTTGTTCATCTCATCCCAGAAATGATCAATGTGATCTGCATCTCTGTGAGTGTAGGAGTCAGAAAGAAAATCTGTTCCTTTTCAGACAGTTTCAGCTGCCAGTCCTGGCTTAAGTCTGACCAAACCTTTGCATTGTATTTGCGGGGTTCCTTGAAGAAAGGAATGATGAATCTGACTCCATGTTCTTGAAGGCTAATTTATTATTTCATGATACTAGATTATATTAAAGAATACTAAACTATACTAAAGAATAGAGATAGAAGGCTAAAAGATCCTAATGAAAACTTGTGACTCTTTCCAGAGCCTCGACACAGCTTCACCCTGATTGACCATTAAGTCAAAACAAGTCACATGAAACCCACCAAACAATCACCTGTTGGATAAACAGTCTCCAAACCACATTCCAAAACAGCAAAACAGAGGAGAAGCAAATGAGATATTGTTTTCCTTTTTCTCTGAGGCTTCTTAGCTTCTCAGGAGAAGAATCCTGGGCAAAGGGATTTTTCAGAAAATGTGGCTGCCACAGTTGCATGCCAAGCAGGATGCCAAGGTCGTGAGCATAGCCCTCCTCAACACCCCCAAACAGCCAAACCCTTACTCCCCAGACTTTGGTCTTGCCTCACTGGGGCTGTGTTGGTTATAATTAAAAAAACACTGTTTCCATTTGAATTTCTGAAACCAGTTTCCCAGCGGCAGGCTGGGTTATGGTTAATTAAAGGCTCCCACAATCAGATATCTCCTTCGGTGCAACGACAGCCACGTCTGAAATGCCACTGTGGTCAGAGCAGCGAGCAGGAGCTGGGGCCGCTTTCATCTCACAGGAAGGGCTGCTGGCCTTTCCATGGAGCACCCTGTAACCTTTCTGAGCCCTTTAAAGGCTTTTAAACCCTGTTTTGGGATGTGTCAGCAGGGCTCCTGCCCAGATCCTGGCAGCCGTGCGTGTTCTTCCCTGCTCCTCTCTCCACGTGCACAGCTGGCCAGTTCTGCATCTCAGGAGGTGGTTTGGTCCTGGCTGAGTAATCTGCCCTGTACTTCTGTTTATATCTCACAGAGATGCTCCAGATGGACTTGGCAGAGGAGCAGCAGGTGTGTAGTGTAGTCTTTCTGTGGAATGGAGGCTTGATTTTCAGCTATTTATCATTTTTTGGTGTATTGTTGATGGGAGCAGCCACTCTGTTTTTCCCTAGAGCAACATAAATATTTCAGACTTCTTTTTCCCACTGAAACTTTAATTTCTCACTAAAATGCTGTTTCCCACCACAAAGAAAGCAAAACGTAGCTCAGCCTGCTTTATTTTCACCTCTAGCCTCTCCAAAATACTCACCAGAAGTTTGTTCCAAGTTGTCAGATATGGGTTTTAGCTCTATAATAAATAGAATATTGGATAACTCCATAATAAAAGGTTTCAGAGTAATTCTTATCCATTCTCTGCATTCCTAAAAGGCAGGAAAGAGGGGAGCAAGAGCCTGGCTCTTCTCCTGTGCCATGGGAGTGCCTGGTGCAGGTGCAGCCTTGCTGTTTCTCTGATGGCTCACTAAAGGATTGGTGCTGCCGGGTCATTCTCCTTTCTCGTGTGTTGAAGATTCATCCCTGAATTCCTCCTGCTCTGCAAAATGTCTCAGCTGGACTCCATGGTTTCCCCTGGAACCTGTGGGGGAGCGTGTGAGAGCTGGGCTGGACCTTCACTGCGAGCAGCAAATGACAGTGTGTGGTTCCCTTATTCTGCCAGTGCAGCCACCAGCAGTGGAGGGAGCAGGGCAGAGGTGTCGGAGCAGAGCTTTGTCCTGGTGTCCCTTTTGGAGCTGTCACTGGGGAGCTATCCTGGGGAACGGCAGCAGCTGCATCTCACAACTCTTTGTGTTGAAAGTGCTAAAAGATGGGGGTAAAAAGCCCTTGGAGCGAAAAAAAAAATCAAGTATTTCCTCTGCTGCCCCAAACCAGCTTGTACACACTGGTGCAGCA